AAAAAAATAAAAATAAAAATAAAAAAGATTTTATTTATTTATTTATTTGACAGAGAGAGACCCAGGACCCTGGGATCATGACCCGAGCCGAAGTCAGATGCTTAACCGACTGAGCCACCCAGGCGCCCCAAATAAAATCTTTAAAAAAAATAAAAAATAAAGATTTCAAATCAGTGACCTAACATACATTGCAAGGAACTTAAGAACAACCAACCAACCAAAGGTGGCAAAAGAAAGGAAGAAATAAAGGCTAAAGCAGAGATTTCAAAGGAGAATATAGACACAATAGGAAAAATATATGAAACCCAATTTTTTTGTGTGGATATTTAGGTTTTTCTACATAGAAGGTAAAATCATCTGCAACAGAGATCATTTTATTTCTTCCTTTACAATTTTGCCTTTTATTTCTCTTTTTTTTGCTTAATTCCTCTAAAACTTCTGTGTTGATTAGAAGTGGCAAAAGTGGGCATCCTAATCTTGTTCCTGATTGAGGAATTTCCCTTCTGTTTTTGGAGTTCTTTTTATCACTACAGGGTGTTGATTTTTGTCAAATGCCTTTTCTGCATCAAGTGAGATAATTGTGCAGTTCTATTTATTTTATTAATGTGTATTACATTGATTTTTGTATATTTAACCACCTTTGCATGTTAGGGTAAATCTTACTGGATCATGGTGTATAAATCTTTTTTTTTTTTTAAGATTTTATTTTTAAGTAATCTCTACACCCAACATGGGACTCAAGCTCAGAACCCTGAGATCAAGAGTCACAGGCTCTACCAACTAAACCAGCCAGGCACCCTGCTGTATAAATCTTTTTAATAAGCTCTTGGATTTTGTTTGCTAGTATTTTGTTGAGTATTTTTGTATCTTATATTTATTTTTTTAAGATTATTTAAGCAACCTCTTTATCCAGTGTGGGGCTTGAACTCACAACCCCGAAATCGAGATCCTCATGCTCTACCCACTAAGCCAGCCAGACACCTTGTATCTTACATTTATAAGGGATATTGGTCTATAATTTTCTTGTAGTGTCTTAGTCTAGACTTGGTATTAAGATAATGCTTGCCTTGGGGCACCTGGCTAGCTTGGTTGATGCAGCATGCAACTCTTATTTATTTACTTATCTAATTTTTTTCTTTTTATGTTTTTTTTTT